TGCCAGCTGAAAATCAGAGTTTGTCATCTGCTTGAACATGGCTGATAAGAAAAAACTGACTCTATGAAGGCTTTTTTTTATTTTTAATATTTCATCCATAGATATAATTCTTCTGTCCCCCATTAGCAGACATATCTGCAATGTTTAAGGTTTAATAAATTCTCAAAGGCCCAAACTGCTGGCTTCTTGGAGTGCAACATGGAAATCATTAGAAGACATGTACAGCTTACAATACAAATTCAAAGTTGAATCTGTATGCTGGTCCCTGTAGAAGAGGAAGTTTTATCTATCTTTCTGTAGGCACCAGCTTACCATTTCTTCATGTGTAGCTGTTAAAAGAACATGCATACAGATGAGTTCTTAGATGTCTGATAGCAATTTACTTACCCAAAGATCCCATTTGCATGTGACAATGTAGATGCATATAGAGTCTGGGTTTCATTTTATGCTTACATTGAGCCTTTAAGTGACTGCTGCTGAGCACATCCTCAGAATAACAAGCAGCATTTGCAACTTCATCCCTTAAAAGTTTTTATCACTTCTGCTGGATTAACACTGTACAAAGTTACAAGGAGTATGATAACATATTCTACATTTGGGTGGCTAACGAAAGGAATGAACAGCACTAAAGAATGTATGTTGCAACGATGCAACGTGTTTTGGCTGAAATCCTGGGCTACTAAATGAAGTAATGTTTCCATGTGTTATTAATGAAGTTGAGATTTCACCCTCAATGTTTATCCCTAAGATCGATCCAAACAATTTTGTCAGGCCTGTGGCTGAGCTGTTTTGACCAGACTCTTGCAGTATCAGTTGTTTTGGGCTGACTGAAACATTTGTGTACTGAATGCATCATACCTTGAGCACAGGCTATATTTGATCCCATTGTGATGAACTAATCCACAGCTTCCACATGCTCTCATAGTTATCTACAGTACAATAACAAAGAATTTTTTTGCATCAAGTCTGGTTGAATTCGGCCATGCAAGGTCTGCTTTAGGTTTTGTTTCAATATTTTCAATTAATGGATACAACAAGACTTCACAGAAATGCAGGCTGTTGCGTTCAAGAACTCCATTCTAGTTGTACACTACCTGTAGGCAGCAGAAAGCAACCACAAACCACATAACTGAAGAGGATTACTTGTCCATTCAGAAAGAACGGGAAGAGGAAACTTATTACACCAAAATGTTTCAAAGTATTGCAGTTGCATGATATTGTATGTTACATCCAGCTGTGTTCACTAAATTAAAGGACAGCCATACATAATACAGTTCTGCAACATACCTGGAGGCAATGCAAGATGAATTTATTCTGATACGTTTCTAAAAAAAGAATCCTGAAATGGTTAGGGGAATAAGAGTGCTTTCAGGTACAAAAGTATATGTAGATAATTGCTCTCAGTCTCCATGGGAAAGAAAAAAATTTCAGATGAAATGATCAACACCCCTGCCTTTGGTTACTAACAGGTATTTTTCTTCCTAAGTGTGGGAGGAAATGGGTAGTGAGTAACTATATTCCAGTTTATTGCTAATGCACAGGAGTCTGACAAAAACAAATCTTTGAAATGGCATAATCCATATCTAAACTCAAAGTGCAAGCAACAACTAATCACATTTTCATTCCAAGGATGCTTGGATAGAAGACTTAATTGTTTGCTGATGAAGGGAAATAAGGAAATTCTCATTTTAAAGAAAAGCTTAGTTTGCCACCAGCTTGCGTTGTTTTGAGTTTGGATTTTTGCCCTTTTTTTCTATTAGATCCAGCCAATATCTGAACTTATTGCATAGCCAAATCAGTAATTATTGTACTACATAATAATATAAGTAGTAATATCAAGTCCTTTATGACTTGATTTGTAATTAGGAGCAGATAAGAAATTTTCTGATGAAGGGTTTTTTTCTTGGAAAAGGCAGATGTGCTGACACCAAATATTTTCATGGGTAAAATATTTACTGTTCCAGTAAATGGTCAAGAAAACACAAAGCTGTGGTGGACTTCCTGCATGCTTGCTGGGAGTCTGGGGACTCCTGATGCATTGCTTGAAGGAAGGCTTAGATGGAAAACAGCCTGAGAGCAAAGGGCTTGAGAGCAAAGCCAAGAGCTTCCTGCTTCCATGTGACATGGCCAAGAGACTGGCAAGATGAAAGCCCCAGGTCCCAGAGTTTGACTCAGCCATAAGATCCGCATATCTGCAGGCTCCCATCTTTCCCTCTCAGTCTATTACGACAGAACATTAAAAAACATGAATTAAGATCAGAAATGTTCTTTAGAATGTAAGCATCAGCCCCACCCATTACAAGCAGGAGTAGGTGGGACCATTTAATTGAGAAGACCCGCACACAGAGATATTATCTACTGTGTGTTTAAATACTTTCCTGGAGATGGGAGATTTCAACAATTTTATGAGTTCTCCCATTTTGCATTACAACTGAAAGTCTACATTTTTTGACTACCCATAACAATTAGTGAAAATAGTAACTAATGTTGTCGCTCTTCGATCACAACACAGAAAAGATTGCTTCTGCTGTCTGCGTAGTTATCTGCCTGCTGTAGTTGTTAAAACACTTCACAGAGTTGGCAATGTAACCCAAATAATTTTAATAAACTAAAAACAGGCTAATACATAAATATCAGAGAAGTAAAACAAAGGCATATGTGATCATCCCAGGCATTTCATATTTTGCAAATTGTCTGCTCATGCTACTATGTCAGCCCATCAAATAACAAAATTACCACATAAGGTAATTCTGCTGTAAACTGAACTTTTTACTTTTCATCAAACAAAGTTAAAAATAACTGACAGATGGGGAGTATAATAACTCAGGAAACCACTGTGCTAATGCATCTAATAGTTTCCTAAACTGGACTACACATCTTGCTGGATTGGAGTTTGAATAAATTCATGATTGCCTGAACCCACCTGTGTAGATCTACCCTAGGTCCTGGCTGTTCATAGCCCTTCAAATGCTACTAAAACTAGGAATTAGCGTGGAAGGAAATGTTCCCTGCAATACAGGATAATGCAGTTGTAGTCAGTGGAAATGCTGGAGCCTCCATGGTATGAAAAATGTATATTTCAAATAAATGCACTAATGCCATATTTACATATGCAAGAAAACAGTGGCATAGCATGAATAATTTTCCCTCTAAGTAAGAATGTGCAAACCATGTCAACAGGCAATACTCTGAGCCTTTAAAACAGTTTGAACGCTGCATTATTTCTTATTATTTACCCCTTTGAGAAATGATACATTCTCACCTTTACTCAAAGACTTTCAACAGAGCAACACTGCTCTCAAGCATGTCCTATGGTTATGACCATTAACAAGATGACAACAGAAAATGGCATTACCACACCATTTTGTCATTTGTCGTAATTTTCCCATATGTCTCTTGACCTCTCTGTGTGTTGACTAGGTTGCTGGGTTAACACTGTCCTACTGTAGAAACAAAAACCTGCTATGTAATCTCCCTCTATCTCATACTTGATCCATTCAGTGTTATTTCAAGGCATTGTCAAAGGCATTAGGTGCTTGTTTGTTGTGAAAGATCATGGTTTCACAAATACTCAAGAGAAAAATAATAGAAAGAGTGAACCATAGAAGGCAGTCCTTCTCTTTTTCTTGTTTTTCTTTTTTGTTGTTGTTGGTTTTTTTGTTTGTTTTGTTTTCTGTGGATATAACAATTCAATAGATAATATCACACAAAAAGTGTGCAGGGGAGAGAATGAGCACACAGCCATTTCATGGGTTTGGTAAGTTTGAAAGTAGTTACGGTTTTACCATTTTAATTTTGTCATCTGCAAATGTTAATGAGCATAGTGTGCATGGTTCCTCAGAAGGAAGAGTGAACTGTTCAAGATTAGCACTGTTTCATTAATTTCATTTATACTCTTTGCACCCATCCTGCATTTGGCAGGCTTTTCCAAATAATGCTACCAGAATACAAAAAGGTGCAAAATAAGGAAAGGAGTGCCTCAGTAAATAACTGAAGTCAGCATTGAAGGAATATAATGTTACTTATGACACACAGTTGAGTATTCAATCAGGTCTCTTTTACAAGCGATTGATATTCTCGATAGCCTGTGCATAATGTTGTCGAGAGACTTAGAAGGATGCTAACATTTCATTACTCTTGCCATTGATTTTTTTCTGCTTTCTTCACAACAGAAGTCAAAACATGACCTCTTATTCCACTGAATTAGTTCCAGAGCACTTGGCATTATTGACCTCCTAATGAAAATTAATGATGGTTCTTTGATTCAGTCTTTCATGTAGGCACACCAAGCACATTTAAGAAACAGGCACATTTATTTCTCATATTGAAATGAAATAACATACTGTTAAGTAACGAAATGCACATTAATGCAACATTAAATTTGCAAATTTAAGCACATAGAATTCAAGAGATTTAAACTGCGTTATCAGGAGCTGATGCTGCAGAGATTTAAGCTTGGCAGTAATTTCAGACCTGGAAAGCCAATAAGTTTTACAAGATACACATATGCTTAGAACATTTCAGCCCCAGGCCCTAAATTTATAGTAAAAAAATGGCAAGACTGAAATGTTTTTACTGTGCAGCAGAGACAACTGCACATTAGCTTAGGTATTTCCATGTTTTCTTTTCCCTTTTAAAGCTAAAGAAGAATTCAAATTCTTTTCAGCGACTTTTTCTTCTGTGCTCACAAGCTGTCACCCCACAGTTGAGTGGATTTCCTTCATATGGAGCCTTGCACAAATGTTTATGCACAAACTGACTTCAGTCTATGGATATGGATCCCTTCTCCCTTGCACCTCTGTAAATAAGAATTACCTCTACCAGGTGAAACAGGAAAGGTGAATGGATTCGTATCTGGAGACTGGGTGAAAGCTTGCCATTTTATCTAAACAATTTCTTATTCCTGGGAAATTCTCCCAGAAATAATTCCTGAGGAATTATCTAGGAAATCTGCAAGAATAATGAATGAACTAACTTACTTTCTTCCTCTCTTTCCTTAGACAACAAAGACTATGATGCATATCTATCCTATACCAAAGTGGATCCTGACCAGTGGAATCAAGAAACTGGAGAAGAAGAAAGATTTGCTCTTGAGATCCTACCAGATATGCTTGAAAAGCATTATGGCTACAAGTTGTTCATACCAGACAGAGATTTGATTCCCACTGGAAGTAAGTCTTCTTTATGCTTGCGTGTTTCCTAAACTGCAAATGCAGTGATTGCAGTGATTGGTTTGGTATCTTTTCTATGCCTACTCCTTCTTTCCTCCCTCATCTTAGGGAATGATGAAGATAAACCACCAAACATACTTAATGTGTATTTCCCAGATAAGAGGATTATTTTTTTAGCAATTGTATTATATTGATTGAAGGTGAGACAGTGCAGAAAGGGCATACATAAGTAAAGAAAATAAATGAGACTAACATTTTTTCACAAATTTTTGAGAGCTTGCATATCTAGGAATGAATACAGAGGTCTTTGTTTTCTGTTCCTTAGAGTCTGCCTGTTCCTTAGAGTTTTCTCCCTCTTCTGGGAGCAGGGATTTGCCTCTTTTGTTTCTCCTTAGTCTATGGGAGCAGAGTGTTGTCTTAGATTAATTTTTGAGCACTTCTCTTATTTTGTAGCTTACATTGAAGACGTGGCAAGATGTGTAGACCAAAGCAAGCGACTGATCATCGTCATGACTCCAAATTATGTGGTAAGAAGAGGCTGGAGCATCTTTGAACTGGAAACAAGGCTTCGAAACATGTTAGTCACGGGTGAAATCAAAGTGATACTGATTGAATGCAGTGAACTACGAGGAGTTATGAACTACCAGGAGGTCGAGGCCCTGAAACACACCATCAAGCTCCTCACTGTCATTAAATGGCATGGACCAAAATGCAACAAGTTGAATTCCAAGTTCTGGAAACGTTTACAGTACGAAATGCCTTTTAAGAGGATTGAACCCATCACACACGAGCAGGTTTTAGATGTCAGTGAGCAGGGGCCCTTTGGGGAACTGCAGACAGTCTCCGCAATTTCCATGGCTGCTGCCACCTCCACTGCTCTTGCCACTGCCCATCCAGACCTGCGCTCCACCTTTCATAACACATACCATTCACAGATGCGCCAGAAACACTATTATCGAAGCTATGAATACGATGTACCTCCTACCGGCACCCTGCCGCTTACCTCAATAGGTAACCAGCATACCTACTGCAACATCCCTATGACACTTATAAACGGGCAGCGGCCGCAGACAAAAACTAACAGGGAGCAGAATCCGGAGGAGGCTCACACAAACAGTGCGATACTGCCTCTCTTGCCACGGGAGACCAGTATATCAAGTGTCATTTGGTGACCGAAATGCAAGGGGCTGTCAACCCCCTTGAATAGGAGCTGAGTCTGCAGTCCGGTGCCTGGAACTACATCCTCGACTGCTGCTGTTAAACATGCATTACAATCGATAACATACGAGGAAAAACAGGGTCTTGTACATATGTTTTTTGCAATTTCTTTGTAGCATCAGTCTTCCTGTTTTACCCATGTCTCTTCCCATTCACATTTTTGACTTTGTTTTATATGTCATTGGAATTTGTATATTTACATTTTTTTAAATGAAGAGACTGCTGTATAGATAGGAAACTTTTTTGCTTCATTAGTATAGTTTTAGACTTTTTGTTTGTTTTTAACCTCTCTTGGGAATGCTTGGACAAAGCTATGTTGATATCAGAAGCACCATCCATTTTGTTGGCCTGCCTAGCCTGATTCCTGAAGGCCATGCCTGCTGCAGTTCACCTCTTTTGGAGAATATTTGTTCTTAGAAGGACCCCATCCCTCACTGAGAGCTCTAGTTTCATTTCTACTCCTGTAATGTGCACTACTCCTTCCCTGTCCTTACAATGATCCCCATTTGGGGTAACACTACAGTCTGATCATCTAACATGTAACTTGGTAGATACCTGTCAAACAACAGAATATACCCAATCTGTATCAGTTGCTTCACAGTAGTTACTACAGAGTGTGTAGAAACTAGAGATGGGTTGGTTTTTGCTTTCTTGGGTTTGTTTTTTTTACTTATTATTTTAAGAATGAGTTCATTGTATCCCTTTTATAAATATAAAAGCAAACCCTATTTTTAACACTTCCTGGAAAGGTATTAATGTGGTTGTGGATTTTATTTTTAAGCATTTAGCTTTTTATTTTTCCCCTTTCAAAATCCTGCAAATAATATCATTTGCAATTGTCAGGCAAGTTAGACAAGTGAGGCAATAGGCACTGAAGTGCAGAGAGTCCTGCTGATATTTACAGTGATGACTTCCAAACCAAAGGGGAATAAAAAGACAGTAGTGTAGATGGTTTGTCACTTTGTATTATAGAAAGTGTATTTTCTGAAAAAGTAAGAGCAAAACATTATTTTGCTGTGGATTACAGAGTCCCCTTGTATTTTAATGTTCCAAAAACTGTATTTGCTTTAAAATTATATATTCAGGATTAAGAAATCTTCTTTCATTTGGTTTTAGCTTGTAATGATAAGTAAAACTTTATTAGTTTCAACATGATTTCAGTAAGAACTCAGGCAGAAAAAAATGACATGAATACCAACAAATATAACTGTTGTCAGAATAAACTTTATTTATACGAAATTAATATTTAAATCAGACCTGGAAGTATTAAAAGCAATTTATTCACTTTAATGAATAAATAAATTAGTTTTATTTTTTATGTATGATTCTATCCTTGAGGAGTTGCAAATATTGCGTGTACCACGGCTGCCAGGGAAGAAAAAAACCAAACACTATGTTTACATCTGGACATCTTTAAGACAAATGAAATAATCATCTTACTCATACTTATGTTTTAAATAATGAAAAAGTCCTTTCTGGTTTTAGAAAGAGAGAGGAGCGGTATTGTAGCTCTACAACGTATTCAGGCCAAGCTCTCTGCTAGTCTCTGCTAGCAGAGGCAGAGGAGCTGGGGTAGAGTTCCTGGTTGCAGCACACTGTCACATAGCCATGGGTTTGATTTACCCTGGCAGAAATGTAACTGGTATCCTGGTGAACAGACGTCATAGTCTATGTAATTAATTAGCTCTAGGTATTTTTACGGTAGCTGAATGATATTGGCCAATATAATGAATGTGTAGGGTTTGTTCATCCCAATTGTCACAATGAGAAAAGTACAGCTTATAATATTTTGGTCTTCTTAATGAGAAGTGATGGGTAGAGAGTGGGTAAACCGCAGTTGGGAGATATTTGTGGGACTAATCCAGAACTGACAGTGTGGGAGGAAATGACTATGCTCCTGTTGTGAAACTCAGCAAATCTCAGTATCTGCATAACAAGCTAATAGAGCTTTGGGATGTGCACTGATTTTTATTTGCTTAAAAATGTTTATTTCTCTGACAATTTGCTCAAGTCCTTTTCTACAATCTGTTCTTTATTACGGTGTCTCCCTCTGGACATGTGCCAGACATCTTCAAAATGAAAATGAAGCTGCCAGGCCAGATAAAATTTTAAGAGAGCTTTGTACATTTGGTTATTTTCATAGTGTAAGAAAGCTATTATTTATTTGCTCTTACGGACACCTGTCAGGCACTGATGGCATTTTCCTTCATTCAACTGGATGCCAAATACCCCAGTATACTCTGAAAGCAATGCATTATTTTTTCCCCTTTCCCTCCCCTTTACATGCCCTGGGGAAAATAGTGGGATGTGGAATACATGTAGAATGTAACTATCTGACCGCAGTCACATTTAGATGATCGGTAGGTGTTTCCTAAGCCACATGGGGAGTACTTTTCTGTTGTTCTATTTTTAGTGTAGATTTAAGCACTTTGAATAGCATGATTCAGGGATTGATGGATACTATTTGATATTCACACTACTTAAAAAAATTTTTTCTTATAATGTTTTGTCATAATATTAAACAAACAACAAACAAACAAACAAAAGAAACAAATCACAAAACCTGAAATAAATGGACAAGCTATCTATGGCTTTTGAAACATTCCTCCTTAGTATTCCTCCTCTATGAACAGCTCTGTGCGGGGAGCAGTGAAGGAAACTGTTGTGTGTTCACTTGCCCTATGTTTGACAAAAGTTCTGTTGGAACACAAAATAAAATGTAAAAAAAACCCAAAAACCAACCAAACCTGTCATTGCCCTAGTGCTTAGGCTCCATCCTTTTTTGGTGAAGGTGTTCCAGTTTTTGACAATGCAGCCTGAAGCGTGCATGCAATAGCCACATATAAGGTTTAGCCATAAGCAAATAGCACTTTATTTTAAAAACTGCACAGTGTGATGGTTGGAAAAACTTACTCTGCCTGGTCAATAACTTTGGGTCTGTATGTGGATTCTATGCACATGAATTATCCAAGTGTGGTGCTTTGTCTTTATAAGGCTCTCTCTAATCAGGGTAGTCCTTGATATAAAACTAAAGGACTCTGTTGCGCAACCTGTGGAAATTCAGTATGTAGGTTCTCCAGACAACACATGTAGCTGGACAGAAATGGGAGACTGTACAGTATGCAGCTAATTATTTTGAAGGCAAAGTGCATTGCTGGGTCTGATTCTGTTCTCAGTTGCAGCAGTATGATTTGAGAGTAAATCTAATAAAGTTGAATGAATGTAAGATTGATTTGTGTGGAAGAAGAAAATTGGAAAAGCAAAGAGAAAAGGAATTCATATTTGCAGTCTGTGACAAGTTGAAATCTTGGCTGCAAGGAAAGCAGCAGCAAAATGTCTTCTGCATTTTAGTAGGGACCCAGTTCTCACCTGGCAGCCAACATCAAACACTTTCAATATGATCTGGTTTAGAGCTAAATACTGTTAGGCTTAGATGCAAACTAAGATTTTTCTATTACTGCACATCTGTGAAAACCATGCTTATGTTACATAATGAGTGATAATCAGCTTTGAAATAATTGGAAAGCTTGTCATACCCCCCTGATTAAAATTCACAAAGTTTTACTTGGATATTGTGCATTAATAACACATTTAAATTATAGATAAAGCAGTGAGATTTGGGGAAAACTGGCCTGGTAAACAGGATTCCTTCATTCTTAAATTGAAACAAAAAGAAGAAAATATCCAGCTAGCAAGCCTAAGGAGAGTTTAATTAAAATCCAAAGAAGAAAAAAAAATCACAGCAGTAAAGTAAGCTCAAAAATAAGATAAAGGCCAATGGAGAAGAGAGGTCAAAATACCCACCTGTTTTTTGACTGTATTGTGGCTTTTTTTGTCATGCAAAGCTCTGGCTGACCTACATAAAGCAATTGGCTTTTTTGGGTCCCATCCAGGCAGATCAGCAACACAAATATGTCCCTATATGTCTAATACACTTCCAAATGATTTTGTACTTGTTGGTAGTCTAGCACAGAGAGTTTTTGGTGTGTCTTCTATTGTTGTGATACAGAGGATGGCAGAAATCTGTCAGCGCTAAAAAAATCTCTCTAACAGGCTTAGTTTATTATCCAGAGTAACTATATTCCTTCACACCCACCGCTTATCTTATTTGATGTTATTAGAACACTTTTTTTAACCCATTTCTCAGCTGAGCAAGAGATTAATGTGACTGGCATCAGAAAAAATGTAAGCAATTTCATAACAATGAGTCTCCTTGTATAATGAATGCTGCAAGTTCCCTTGCATTTTTTCTGTATAAATTCACATAAATTTCACAACTCTTCACCTCTTAAATAGCCCACTGAGTGGAGGTTGGAGAACACCATTATGTCTTTCATTTGAGATTCACTGAATTTAGTATGGGTACTGAGCTGTCATTTGTGATGTAATTTTGCTGGGCTGTTTCCCATCGACTCTGGTTATATCCCCCAAGAAGACGTGTTGGCAGCATCGCACTTCTCCAGCTGGCCTTGGGTTGATTTTCCAGAACTTGGAGTTGTTTCCCTGGGGAGTGAAACTAATAGGAATATTTCAGCTATTAAGAGTATTCCTATGGGTTTTGTTTGTTTAAATCTGTTTAAGACAAAGTTTGACCTTTGCTCCAGACTAATAAGCTCTGCAGGTGGGAGGTCAAGAGTCCACAGAGTTATGAAGTAGTCAGAACAGAAATTACAAAGGCAGGCCTGATACCTTATTTGGAAAATGCATAAATTCTGAAGCTGATCAGATTAGTAAAAATTGAGTACATTGAGATTGAGGGCTGTTGAAGGAAAGTATTCTGTTATTACAACCAGCCTCATTCCAAAGCTTATCAGCATTCTTACATTAAATCACCAATATCCTAGATAATGTAATTTCAGAAACATTCAATAGTCAATTAAAATATTTTTATTTTTGTGGATTAAGAGTAACATGATTCTCTAGGATCTAAATGTTAAATGAAACAGATGACAGA